AGGGAGGAAAATTCGCATCAGATATGCCGGTTCGCGTGAATCGGCAGAAATAGCGGATTATCGACAGGTAATCCTTTGCGGAAAATGTAGAATCGCTAATACCGCCGCGTACATTCCTCCACATTAAACTGGATTTGAGAATTTAGAGATTTATGAATTCAACGTAATAATCAGCGTTTGTAATATGATCACCTATTACTGATAATTACGGTTAATATTTGACGACCGGTGGCCACCGATTGAGAATTTCCCGACCGAATTGATTCAATTTTTTCGCCGAGAATAACCGCAATCGCGGTTCGGGAAGACATTTATCTTATTCACAGGTTGTCGTATGGATTTCTTCCTTCGGCTTGTGTTATTTTTGCCGCGCGCGGATGTATTTTCGCCTCGCACAGCTTGAGGGGCTATGATCATTCACGCGAATGGAAGCCATTCGTTGCGCCGAGCGATCGAGAGGGGAGATGTCGCTCATGGTTGTTCGCAGAGCGGAAAATTCGTGTGTACACGGCGAAAATGTTGTAATAAACATTACGTTGAAATTATATTTTTTTATGATTTTTTTTTCTTTTTGTAAAGCTCAACTGCACCGAAACTGTAGCATAAATTGTTATGGGAATAATAAATTTGACGGTCTACCTGATATATACGATGTGAAAAAACAGTCAAGCAGTCGTAATAATTTTGCAGCAAAAAGTCAAACGTGTGTGACATTTTTAAACGAACAAATGTAGTAATTTCGTTCGTAATTCTGCACGGTCCAAGATTACAATAATTTCATCGTATTTTTTACTACAATATTTCCTCCGCGCACGCAATCGGCTGATTAAAGCTCGCGACACTTTTCCATGACGAGTTTCGTCCAACAGGAGAATTTATTTCTCAGTCTCATTCTCACGAGATACATTTTTCTAATCGAGCGCGTTATGAAATTCATCGGTAAAAAGTATCGCAACCTTTAATCAGATGACACACAAACATAAAATTTGTAAATAAAGGTTATCATCTTTATAAGTAGCTTATACAACACTCGTATTTATCATATAAAGTGACGAAAGGAATGATGAAAATTTGTTTAGAATGTTTAGAATTGTTTAGTAAAATGTCACAAGGAAATACTGAGTATAATTCTTGCAGTAAATTTATTGCTGCATCGAGAAATTTACGTTATTTTATGATTAATTTAGTCAATATTAGGTTAATACAATATATTTACTCGTCATAGATGCACGCGGAAAGGATATTATGCAGTTTTCTTTTTTCATGTAAATACTTATGAATCTTATTACTGTTTCTGGTAGTGCGGAAATCGACTGTTAATTAGATTTATCTCTTCATAAGCAATCAATTCCACTAAGAATATAAAGAATTTGGCACGTTTTCGTTCCTAAAATACAAATAGCACGTATAAAATGAAGGAATAATGAATTAAAACAAAATTATCCACTCCCCTTTTCCCTCGTCAGAAAATTCTATATCAATTTTTCCTACAAAATTCTCTGCGTATAAGATAAAAATATCAATGCTCGAACGTGTACCTAATCCTGGATATTGTTCTGGTCTTAAAATATAAATATTTAAACTTTTAACAGAGATATATGAAATATATATACAAATATTGAGTATGTACATATGTTGTACGTTGAAAATTTAAATATTCGTATTTAAGGACCAAAATAATAAGAATGAATAAGAAATAATAATAATGTGAAATGTGAGGACGCGAAATGTTTGGTACGCGTCCGGGGATTGGTATTCTTATCTTAATGAAAAAAAGAAATCGCAGAGTTTCCATCGTCGGTTGTTATGGTTATCACGTCGCGATGATAGTCATGAAAACCCATCCGGATAAGATCCGCGATGAAACAGCGGCAAAATGCGGAAAATAGCGACCAATACGTTGCCGGCCGCGGGACGAGGAGAGAGCGGTTAGAAAGAGAGAGCGAGTGAGAGGGGCTGTAATCCGCGTATATACGAGTAATGCGCGGTGAATAAGCTGAAAAGGATTTTCGCCGGTATAGGAATTATTTATCATTGTGGATTACGGTAGCTCTCGCCGGCTATTAAGCGGAACGAAAGCGGCAAGGCCGAACACGCAACGCGACGGAAAATCCCATTGGACGCGCGAGCGTTCGCCCGCGCTCGCGCAAATATTAAATGCGTTTACGATTTTCGCAAATGGGACTGATTATTATCCTCTGCGGAAACCGAACACACACACACAGATATACGCACAGTGCGGGCGCGCCGAGCGAGCTGCTCGCGAAAAAAGTGCTGCGCGAGCGAGCGAGGCGCGCGGACTCGCGATAAAATATAAAATACGCAAGTGAAAAACGAAATTGAGTGCTGAATTCTTTATGATCACGTTCACGCTATTTCTGACTGTACGCCTCATGTGTCCCTATTTTACTTCCTTCTCTCCTTTTTTTTTCAATTTCATGCAATTGCCGACGCACACGCGAGGTTTGCGCGGGCGACTCGTATCGCATCATGATAAGATTCTCCGCGACATATTTTTTGGAGATTCGCAAACTTTCACGTACGGCGCGCCCGCCCGCCGCGCTTGTTCCCGCCGGATTTGTATATGCATAATCACGCGGGCCGCTATAATTAGTGATCATTACGTACGCGCGACGGTATCAGAATTCCGCGTATCGTCCGTCCTTTCGCGCATCTCGCATATTTACGCATCTCTGCCATGTGTTTTAGCAGTCCCTTTGCAAAAATTACGCCGGAGCTTCGCCGTGCAGGTCTCGTCAGCGCGCGGTAATCGGCGAGATCGTGCGCGCACACATCCCGCTGCAGCAGGAACAGTAAATTTAAATCGCAGTGAGAGAAACAGAAAGAGAGAGAGAGAGAGAGAGAGAGAGAGAGAGAGAGAGAGAGAGAGACGGGAGAATGAAAAAAGAGAAAGAAAGATAGAGAGAGAAAGAGAGAGATGCAAATAATATTTTATTTACAAAGAGATACACGTGCGCGGGTTACGTTTTTTGTGAAATCAAAGCGCGCGTATTTTGCGTCACGCAAATCTCCACCGAAAAATGGGTAACGCGAGAACGCAATTGTAAATTGCGAGGTACATCGAACGACAGAACGAACGAGCGAGCGAGCGGGCGAGTGGACGAATGAACGAAAAAAAGTGGGACAGAGAGAGAGAGAGAGAGAGAGAGAGAGAGAGAGAGAGAGAGAGAG